TGTTACATAAATACTCCATTGTATAAAATGTTACAAATATGTGTTACATAAAATCAATTGTCTAAAATGTGTTACAACCTAATGTTATTTAAAGTCACTTATTTTGTAGTGTATGGACATTTGATGTTCATAAATGTAAGGCTTTATGCTAAGTTTTTCTTCCAAAGTTTTTCAAATGTTGGAAAGAGAGAAAAGAAGAAAGTGTTCTTCAAAATCTAAAACAGGAAAGTGTTCTTGATTTAGAATTAAGTTCTTGAGAAAATTTTACAATAGGGTTTTGTAAAATAAATTCAAGAGTTGAATTAATTCTCTAAAAAAAAGAAAGGATTCTTGTTTTTGAACTTAGTCTTGAGAAAAAGATTTGATCTAAGTTCTTAAGAAAATATATTCAAGTGTTGAATAATCTCTCAAAATTACAAGAAAGGTTTATTGTAAATTTCCTCAAATAAATATTCTTTTACTTATTGAAACAAACCGGGTAGTTTCTACTAGCGAAGAAACTATTCTGGAACCGGACATCAAAAGGTGGATACGTTTAGAGGGAAGACATGTGGATTCCTAAGCGAGTAACCACAAAGCGTTGCAGTTACCAAACCGGGAATCGATTCCTCATCCATCTTCGGTTTTTGAAGGAGTTCAAGAACAAAGGTAATTTATGAAATTATCATATTCAAATCAAAATTAGTAAAAGTTACTAGATTTTAAATGATGCTTATATGTGACATTGTTATACTTATGTATGGAATAAGTATTTATAAGATAAATACTTATAAAATTTTAAATTCCACTGCAAACTTTGATCCGTACGGGTATATCGAACCCAACAGTTCGGAATAAGTTAATTTATTTTCAATGATGCTTACATGTAATCTCGTTATACTTACGTACGGAATAAGTATTTATGAGATAAATACTTATAAAAATTTTAAATTCCGCTGCATACTCTATTCCGTACGGTATATCGACCCAACAACTCCAACAATTCCCCACTTATACTAAAGCTAAACTTTTAGTATAGAAATGCTTGCATAACAATTCTCCCACTTATACTCAAAGTCTAGCTGCAACACATCGTAAACCAAGACCCTCTACGTGTTTCTTGAAGACATTGATAGTCAGAGTCTTTGTGAAGGGATCGGCCAGGTTATCCAACGATGCTATCTTTGTCACAACAACATCTCCTCGTTTTACGATTGCTCGTATAAGGTGGTACTTTCTCTCTATGTGTTTAATGGCCTTATGTCCTCGGGGTTTGTGACTGCACCAGCATTATCACAATAAATTGTGATACACCTAGGCACAATCGAAGATACCCTTAAGTCCAATAAGAAGCTCCTGAGCCAAACAACCTCCTTTGTTGCTTCTAAAGCAGCAACGTATTCGACTTCCATGGTAGAATCTGCGATGCATTTCTGCTTCACACTCCTCCATGAGATCGCTCCGCCTCCCATCATAAACACATAACCCGAGGTCGACTTTCTCTTATATCGATCAACATGGAAATCAGAATCTGTGTAATCCAAAGGAGTTAGACCGTTTGTCTGGTAAACAAGCATATAATCCCGAGTTCTTTTCAAATACTTGAGAATATGCTTTACCGCAGTCCGGTGTCCTTAACCAAGGTTAGACTAATATCTCACAACCATGCCAACCGCATAGCAAATATCAAGTCTCGTGCACAGCATGGCATACATAAGGCTTCCTACAGCTGAAACATATGGAACCTTAGCCATTTTCTCTATCACCTTTTGTGTCTTCAGACACATATCCTTAGATAGTGGAACTCCATGCTGAAAAGGTAGCAACCCTTTTCTTGGAGTTCTACATGCTGAAACGAGCAATCACAGTATCAATGTAAGCAGCTGGAGATAGACACAACATTCTCTTCTTCCTGTCACTAATGGCCTTGATTCCAAGAATGTACGATGTCTCACCCAAGTCCTTCATTTGAAACTGTTCCAAAAGCCATACCTTTACGTCTAACAAAATCTTGACATAGTTGTCGATGAGAAGAATATCATCTACGTATAGTACTAAGAATACCACTATGTTTCCGTTGCTCTTTTTGTATACACAACTTTCGTCTGGACATTGATGAAATCTATAGGACTTGATAACCACGTCAAAACGAACATTCTAAGACCTAGAATCTTGTTTTAGTCCATAAAGAGACTTTTTTAGATTCCATACTCGATGCTCTTGGCCTTTCTTCACATAACCCTCGGGTTGCTGCATATAGATGTTTTCATCCAAGTTTCCATTAAGGAAAGCTGTCTTGATATCCATTTGCCAAACCTCGTAGTCCATGTGACTTGCTATGGATAAAAGAATCCGGATCGACTTAAGCATGGTTACTGGTGAAAACGTCTCATCATAATCGATTCCCTCTTTCTGAGTGAAACCCTTCGCAACCAACTGTGCTTTGAAGGAAATAACCTTCTCATCAGTTCCTCTCGTATGCCTAATAACCCATTTGCAACCAATGGCTTTCTTGCCTTCAAGAAGGTCCCTAAGGTCGTATACCTCTTTAGCATCTATAGATTCAATCTCAGAATCCATAGATTTCTGCCAAGAATCTGCATCTACATCTTGGATTGCCTCATTATAGGTCCAGGGGTCACTATCATGCTCTTCACTTGGGATGAAGTCTGAAGACTCTCCCACAAACATGAAATGATCAGGCTGACGAACAACCCTCCCACTACGATGAGGCAATTCGGGCGTAAATACATCAGAGTCAACAAGTTGTGCAGTCTCTTGTGGTATATCCTCTTGTACATTCGGTATGTCGTTGTCTTCCCTCAACTCTTTGAGAATAATCTCACTATTGGACTTATGCTCACTCACATAGTCTTCTTCTAAAAACCAGGCATTGGTGCTAACCACAACCCTCTGATTTTTAGGACTATAAAAGTAACCATCTCTCATTCCCTTTGGGTAACCTACAAACAGTTGTACTTCTGTTCTAGGTGTCAACTTATCAGCTTCCTTATCCAACACATGTGCTGGGCAGCCCCAAATCCGAATGTGGTTTAAACTGGGCTTGCGCCCCAACCGCAATTCTATTCGAGTATTCAGAACTAATGTAGAAGGTACAGAGTTAAGAAGGTACGTCGTTGTTTCCAAGGCATTTCCCCAAAACGAGGTAGGTAATGAAGCATAGCTCATCATCGATCTCACCATTTCTAACAGAGTCCTATTCCTTCTGTCTACTACGCCATTCTGTTGGGGAGTACCAGGCGCGGTCAGCTGGGATGTAATCCCATTCTCTAATAAGTATTACCTAAATTCATTGCTAAGGTATTCGCCACCACGATCAGATCGCAGTGACTTGATACTTTTCCCTTGACGGTTCTTTGCTTCTGCATTAAATTCTTTGAACTTGTCAAAGCATCCAGACTTGCGGCACATCAAGTAAGTGTACCCATACCTTGAGTAATCGTCAATAAAAGTAACAAAATACTCGAAACCACCTCTAGCTTAAATAGACATAGACCCACACAAATCAGATTGAATCAATTCCAACACATCATTGGACCTATTCCCCTTGCCCTTAAATGGCCTAAAAGTCATCTTGCCTTCTAAACAGGATTCACATACTGGAAATGGTTCAACTTGGAGGGAGTCCAAGAAGCCACTACCTACCGTCCTTTGGATCCTCCTTAGATTGACCTGACCCAACCTTAGGTGCCAAAGATATGTCTGATTCGACTGAGAAGGTTCCTTTCTCTTGTTTAGTGATGAAGATGCATAAGCTTCAGTCACAGTATGATATACACAAGTAATAGTATAAAGATTGTTAACCAACAAGCCAGAACAGATAAAAGAGTTATTTCTTATAATAACAGCATTGTCGTTAAAAATAACTAAATATCCATCCAAAAACAGCTTCAAAGCTGAAATTAAATTCTTCTGAAAAATCGGCACGTACAAAACATTCTTTAATACTAAAACAGAATCAGAAAAAGATAAGTGCACATTTCCCACTACAACTACCGCCACTCGTGCAGCGTTGCCCAAGCTGATGGTAATCGCGCCCTCACTGAGCTGCCTTCTTTGCAGAAACCCCTGCAAAGTATAACAAACATGATCAGTGGCTCGTGTATCTATTACCCAATAACTGGTAGAACAATCCGCAAAACATGTTTCGATAATTAAAGCAAGAGACATACCAGGAAAGTCCTTGAAGGGACAATCTGTCTTCCAATGTCCTGTCTTGTTGCATTTGAAGCACTTGCCTTTCGGCTTCACCACGCCACCAGAAGGCGCTACAGCCTTGCTCCCACCATTCCCACTGCTCCCACTAGTTCCACTAGTTCCACCACTCTTTTTCTGCACTTGCTATTTCTTCTTCCCATCTTTCGACGAATAAGGTCCAACTTGTACAAAAACATGAGCCTGTGGTCCCCTTCCCATAAGACCCTCCGCTGCAACCAAGTCCGTAAGAAGCTCAACTAGAGTATAACCCTTATTATTCATGATTAAATTCAGGCGGAAGTTCTCAGAAGACTTTGGGAGTGAGTGCAGGATGATATCGATCTTGGCTTCGCCATAGTTATTTTCTCCGACAACATCTATCTCATTCAGATATTCCATCATCTTGAGAACATGCTCTCGTACAGAAGCTCCCTATGGCATGACAGAAGACATAATCTTCTTCATAGCCTCAAAACGAGCAGCCCTATCTTGCTCACCAAAGAGTTCCTTGAGGCTCAACATCATGTCAGCAGTAGTGTAACAGCCCAGTCAACCCGTAGTAGAATATTTTCTGCTTTGGGTATACACCAGATCATTCCCTCACGGTTTTGCCTTTTGGAGCTAGCTCACCAAAATGCATCCTACAAGTGAAGTTATCCACAATGACTTATAAGGCATGTTTCGTTCTCCTTCACAACCGATGTGGGATACTACAATCAACCCCCTTTTGAGGGCCCAGTGTCCTCGCTGGCACACTAGTCCGGGTACTGGCTCTGATACCAATGTAACAGCCCAGTCAACCAGTAGTAGAATATTGTCCGCTTTGTGTATACACCAGATCATTCCCTCACGGTTTTGCCTTTGTGAGCTAACTCACCAAAACACGTCCTACTAGTGAAGGTATCCACAACCACTTATAAGGCATGTTTCGTTCTTCTTCACAACCGATGTGGGATACTACAATCCACCCCCATTTGAGGGCCCAGCGTCCTCACTGGCACACCAGTCCAGGTACTGGCTCTGATACCAATGTAACAGCCCAGTCAACCCGTAGAAGAATATTGTCTGCTTTGGGTATACACCAGATCATTCCCTCACAGTTTTTCCTATGGGAGCTAGCTCACCAAAACGTGTCCTACTAGTGAAGGTATCCACAACCACTTATAAGGCATGTTTCGTTCTCCTTCACAACCGATGTGGGATACTACAAGCAGTAGGCATAGTGTGATTCTGTTGTTGCAAAACATTTGACATAGATGCCAAGATGTAGCAACGAGCCATCTCATCAGCCTTGTGCCACTTCCGATGAGCCTCCCTTTCCTCTTCAGTCAATTGGGCGCTCAAAGGAGCAGTAGCAAGAGTGGTGAGCACAAACTTGTACTCATCAGCAACAAAGACAATATCCAGATTTCTCTTCCAGTCCAAAAAATTTGGACCAGTAAGCTTGTTTTGATTGAGAATGGCCATAAGCGGATTAAATGACATGATGAATAACTGGAAAAAATAATTACAAACACGTAAGCAACAATTCACATAAAAATGAAGCATAAAATATGGAAACCTTTAAAAACCCATTATTTATTGCAACCTCCAACAAATTAATGAACACATATGCAAGCCACGTTGGGTGGACGTTTACACATATGTCAATTAAGCAGACACCCAGTCATTAATCTCAATTGCACGCCAACCTGTCCTTATGGCGAATGAAATTAATAGTCGAAATTTTAACACTTGCCATGTGAATCAAAATAGAGACTCCGTTGGGGAATTATATTAAATTCACATCTAAGTGATGACCACAATTTAACCCCAAGAACAATCATCCACAATTGATGAACCTACCGATGGGGAAGACACATCGCTTGTAAATAATTTTCTACGGTTATTGCGAAATAATCTTTACCGGTGAGCTTATGAATGACACTATCCATTAGGAAGGAGACCACATGGGTCATGCGTATGCCACTCACTTCACCTAAAGATTAAGTCGTTTGAATAGAAGTCTTATCTAGTAAGCTCGTGAATGTCGTATCTATTAGGGGGAGACTCTGTAACACCCCGCCTTGACATGAAAATCAGAGTGCGCTTCTTCGCAAAATTACTCATAATAAAACATTTTATATTTGCGAAATACTGATTCGGAGTGCTACCATAATACATGATTATTTACATGATTGATATAAAACATGACTGATACTGAAAATGACAATTTCACTGTTGTAGAACTGATAATGGACTTAGTTTGACAGACAGTGAATCGTCAGTGGAAGTTATAGCTGGGAATTTGGTTAGCAATGTCGTGTTCATGAAAACATGTTATCTGAAAATTATATCGGCACTGCTTTGCCAAATTTAGCTTGTACATGACATAATTTAATCTTTATAAGCATAAAGCTTAGGTAATTTAAACTTTATAAGCATATCCGATCCGTCCAGCAGCTCACTCCTTCGCTCCGACTTCATGACCTGAAAAACATGATAAAACTGGGGTGTGAGTACCACTGTACACCGTAGAAACTCATACTGAAGTAAACAGTGAAAATAATAACAATAACATGATCCTGGCATGAACTGAACATGAACTGAACTGATACTGGTCTGATACTCATACTGATCGTGATAAACATCACCTGTCTGATACATCTGCCTGTATAAAATACCGGACACCATGTGCACACTCTAGTGGGCAGATAAGGCCACTAGAACCCAGAATGGACCGGCGACCATTCCAAGCGGATACTGAACTGATAATACATACCTCAAACATGATAGAGCAATTATAATCAATGTAATACTCAGTCTGAGTCCCCACCTGAACTGCTGATCTGAAAATATAAGTTCTGATAGCTGCTGACTGATCAAACTGTAAAATATATAAACAATTACTAAGTACTATGCTCAGATTTAATAAAATAGCTGTTAAGATGCTCGACTGAACTGACATGATTTAACTGATCTTACTAACATGAACTAGGGCTTGATATAACTTGCTTGAGACTGGACTTAACTGAAATTACTGGAATGGACTGACTGAACTGATAACTTAACTGATTCATGAACTGACTGACTGAACTGAACTGACTAAACATAACTGAACATGACTGATCATTACTGAACTGACTAATTGACTCTGGAACTTGACCTGACATAAAATCTAACAGATAAACTTAACTGGTATAACCGGAACTGGTTAAACATGAGACTGGACTAACATGAATTTATTAAACTGACCCGGACCCAGAATTTAACTTAAAAGTTAATATAAAAATGAACCGGGACCTAAAACATATAACTGGACTGACCCGGGACTGAAAATACTAAGACATATGTTGAACCGGTCTAAACCGGTCAGCTCCTGGTCTGGGCCGGTCTGGCCGAACCATCGGCTCGGTCACTCGCGTACTGGATGCGGTCTGGGCGCTGCTGGTGCTGGCTGACTTGGTTGGTTACTACCGTGTGCTGGGAACATGACTGGCGTGCTTGCTGGGCACGGCCAACAACTGCTGAGCACGCGGGCTACGCTGCTGGGCTTGCCTGCGCGCTGGAACACTGGCCAACATGTATGAGACGCTGCTGGAGGCGTACGGGTGTTGTGAGGCACGTTACTGGGCGTGTAACGCGCTTTGGCGTACGTGGACTACTGACTGCGCACTGCCGTGCGTGTTGGCGTGCACTGCGTACACCTACAAGTATGACTGTGGCCTTACATGACTGACTGCTGGGCACTGGCTACGCACACGTACTGCTGGGTGTGCAGACGCTGCCACCGTACTTGCTGGGACTGCTGGGTGCACCTGCGCGCACGCTATGTGCGATAGGCACCATGGTCGGCTTATCACCGGCCGTCCGAAAATCTGTTCTGGCAACTTAAGCATGAATCAACATGTTTAAACATAACATGACTATACTTACTGATTCTAACCCTAAATCGTGAACTTTACTCAATATATTCGCATAGTCTCAAGGCGTGCGCACCTTACGCACGTTGTTGGTGATAAGCCAATTTCCTCGAGTACACATGTACTTTTTTTGAACAACCCTAGGAATCTAACCACTATATACTATTCAAAGCTTATTGAGACTAGGATTATTTGAACAATTCTGATTATATAGCATGATAACGTGAAAGGCAAGCCACGGCTTGTGGGCATGCGCTAGATGCGCAGTCCACTTCCGTGGACCGAATCATGAACTAAACTATGACTTGACTCAAACTATCCTTTAAAAATGATCATAAAATGACCTAAACTGATTACTTAACATAAATTATTCGGTGAAATCTGAATAGAACTAAATATCACTCGGTCCGACCTATCATGGCCAATACCGAACTCATCATGAACTATCCTCTCATTTCATGACATGAACTTGAAGGAACTGAACTTGAATTGATCTTATTAACATAAGAGGATACTGAAAGTAGGTTTACCTTCTCAAGTGCTCGTATGATCTCCCAAGGACGGGTATGATTTTCCTTCTCCAAACATGTACGTGTGTGTGTGTGTGTATATTGGTTAATTTATCTCAATGTTTGCTGAACATAAAACCTCACTAATCCGCTGACTTTTTATCCCAATATACTGACTTATAGAAGCTTGAAACGCTGGTGAGACACATGGAACTCTCGGCCAATTGTCATGCGCCAATTGCCGTGCGCTAAGAGTGCAAGGTGGCCCTTAGTGCTTACTCACCATCATTCGAGCTTAGTCATGTCCTCCTATACTCTCAGCCCTCCAAGTGTCCTGACCATGATAGCCTTGTATGTGAAGTTGTGGAAGACTTGGACTTCTTGTCATTAGATGCGCTAAGTTCGGTTATGCGCGGTAATGGCGGCTTAAGCGCTAAGGACGCGCTAAGCGCACTTGCTGCTGATTACCCACACGCGAGCCACGTGAATGACATGCTTAGGGCGTGATTAAGCTTAGATTTAGACGGGCTAATGATGCGCATAACTTGTGCTGATAATATACTAATGACATGCTTATGCGCTTGCTTATTGACTTAAGCTCGGTAAACTATTTATCGAGCTATTGAACATGATTTTACTGGAAAAACACATGAAATCAGTTACTGAATAATTATTCTGAACATGATATGAATATTACGGAATTAACCCGTAATATATTTTACTGATTTTAACTCAGTTAATATACACTTTCGACTTAATGTCGAACATGAAACTGAACTTGACTGACTGACTTAAACATGAACTTTAACATGATTATTTATTAACAAAGGCTAGCTTATACTGAAAAGCTAGTATTTTCTTTATTAATAAAATCTGGGATATTACAATCCACCCTCCTTAAAATATTTCCGTCCTCAGAAATACTAAACTGAAGGTACAAGCTTAGCACGCAAAGCTTATACTATACTGATAACAGAACTGGAGCATCCAGTATTTATATACTGAACATTAAACTTTAATCTGAACTGAAGACTCAACAATTCATAATTAAGTGAACTGTTTGCTTAATACTGACTGAATATGAACATTTATCTGAAAGAAAGTGTTCAACTGAATATACATGACATGAAAAAGAATAACTCCTGAACATATTGACTGTCACCTCCTGGATGATTACTGTCCTTCAATCTGAATGTTGGTTGTGAAACCAAAGTCATTGGTACACACGGAAGATTTCAGAGATACGCATATGTACAATTGAGGACTACTAGCAATCCTGATCATTACCTGTCATGAATAGTAACTAAATGACACGGCACAACTTGTCGCGACACTTGCAATGCGGCATACCTGCTCCTCCTCGAGTAAGTGTGGCACACCTGCATGCAGTATCTGGCGAACATTGCACCTGCGTCGTTACTGTAGTCTGTATACCTGATCCTGTCTGTATCTCATGCTAGT